ATGAAGAACAGTAATGTTTTGTGATAATGTGTATTATGAAGAACAGTAATGTTTTGTGATAATGTGTATTATGAAAAACAGTGATGTTTTGTGATCATGTGTATATTGAAGAACAGTGCTGTTTTGGGATAATGTGTATGCTGTTGAACAGTGGTGTTTTATGATAATGTGTATATTGAAGAACAGTGATGTTTTGGGATAATGTGTATATTGAAGAACAGTGATGTTTTGGGGTAATGTGTATGCTGTTGAACAGTGGTGTTTTATGATAATGTGTGTTATGAAGAACAGTAATGTTTTATGATAATGTGTATATTGAAGAACAGTGATGTTTTGGGGGGGATGAACAATTGGCTATAAGAAACAGACATCTTCACATAATTAGTTAATCTGCTCCTAATGAGATGTTAGAATATAACGTGAATCTATAATAGAATTTATTACCACAGTTAAAAAATACTTTCTACCAAGGAATAATTATTATTCTTAGAAGTTAAGGTGTCAGTGTGAATATATTACTTTACTGTATGGTGTTAAGGCTATAACACGATTGTAAAGTTTGTGTTTACATACCTAATAATCTATCATACAGGCAATATTGAAGTTTAAAACATCTTGTGGTGAGAGGGTTTATTGCGGTGTTGACCTTATAGTGTACATGTCCTTCCTGCAGTTTTTAAAAGTTGAATCTGTTTTTTTTTTCCTATTTGAACAAGGGACTAGGTGGCAATTTCACAGAGCACGTGACCATGTCTAAATGCCTTTCCAAAGTACTGTACAGTTCCTCGAAAATCCAGCCTAGCCAGGTGACACTATTGTTTCGTCTAGAAACTCGAGACTTACGGCTTGTAAACTTTAAATATGCTGTTAGGAAAAATCAAACTGCATGATTTTCCTTATCTTGATATCCCCTGGTTGCATGATATTGATGTAGAAACCCTATGATTGTTCTTTTGTTATTCCTCTGTTGTTATGGCACTGTTAGTGTCTTGTAAATGTTTCATTAAATGCTGTTTTAATGTCTTATACTGCCGAGTACACAAGAGCAAAATGAAAGATACAAGTTAATATATGAACCTAAACCTGTAATGCTTCGTGACCACTAACTTGTTTCGTTCTTAGTCTGCAGATGTTGCTGAAAGTACTGTATAGTTTCTAATTTTGTTTCCTGTCATTTCTAGATAGCTCAATGTTAAGTAGCTCTGTTATTTAACTTATAGTCAAAATGATATTATTCTAGATATATATACTGTAAAGTAAGAACTATCAGGGTTTAAATTGTGGCCAAAATGAGGTAACTTATAAAATTAGAGTTTAGATAAATATAAGTATTTCTTCTTGAATTCTTAACAATGAAAATAAATTCTGACACATCCATGGTACTATACATTGATGTTCCTTTCATCTCTCTAGCTGTAATATTTAGGGTTTATGATTTAGCTAGATAGATATTGACAAAGATGTCACTCTAAAATTAATGTTAATTATTTGGTACCTCAGTATTAATGCCACAACATTTATAGTTTTGTTAAACTACACTGTTATTTGCTAAAATGTTTCATATTTGAAGATAATTTACATTTATGAAATCACGGTTTCAAAAAAAAATGTAATTTAGTGTTTTTTTTATAACGTTAAAATTTGATAAGACCTGAAGTTATTTTTAACATTTTATGATCTGAGAATGCTTACAACTTGAGATTTTAACTTCTCCGGTTTTTTTAAATTTATCGTTTGTGTTTTCCAGGTTCGTACTCAGTCTCCTGAGATAATTGAAGAGTTACAGACTGAGAAGAGTTTGCTAGAGTCGTCACTGGCTGAGTCGCAGCAGTTGATGGAAGAGCTTCGGAAGGAAAATGAAAATTTGAGTTATCAACTAAAGGTAAGTCATTCCAATAGTTTTTAAACTTTACCGGTCAGAATAGCTAATCATGGTTCCTTTTTTTTATGTCATTGTGTTTGAGCAAGAAAATTGTCAGTACAGATAGTTTTAATTTATGGTCGAAAAATAGAACCTACCAGATATGTATTGATTAAAGTAATCCAACAGTTTATTGTGTTGTAGTTTATAAAATCTAGCAATATATATCCAAGTCTTAAGTTAGTTACTACACTGTACTTAATGTATAAAATCACTAATTGTTAGACTGAAATTGATTTATGGTATAACTCATTCACTTGTATATTTTTACATTTCTTTGATTGGGTATCTTCACTGTTTTTACACTTTATGTATTATGATGTTCAGTCAACATGGCATACAAAGTCTAGGCCTAAAACCTTAAAATTAAATACAATTGTATCAGAACTTAAGTCTTCATAAACCCATAATAATATGTAAGAAGTTTAAAAAGAAACCATGCTTATTAATGTGTTCAAGTTATACTTTTGAACAATAGTGTGCAAGAAGTATTTACTTATTCAATGTATTTAATAAAAACCATGTATTTAATATTCTTGATGTTATATTAATTGTAATGAATGCCAGTTTGTTATCACAATTTACAAGCTATAATATTTACTATATGTGTGGCCATGAACTATAATATTTACTATATGTGTGGCCATGAACTATAATATTTACTATATGTGTGGCCATGAACTATAATATTTACTATATGTGTAGTTTGGTACCAAGAATTATGATATTTACTCTGTGTGTGGTAATATGATAACATGTAATCATTTGAATCAAGTTCAGTTAAAGAGATGTTTAAAATAAGTAAAAGTAAAGCTAAAGTACAAATCTCAAGATTTCCCTAAACACTGAAAGATGAAAAATACTCTGACAGGAATCTCAGATCCAAGTTGAAAATCTTCTGCGGGAGCTTGATAAAGCCTTAGATGAGAAGAATAAAGCTGAAACAAGTTGTACTGAATCTCACAAGGTTGGTAATGTTTTAAACAGTTCAGCTACTCGTACGGAGTATTGTAGTGAATCTCACAAGGTTGGTAATGTTTTAAACAGTTCAGTTACTCGTACAGAGTATTGTAGTGAATCTCACAAGGTTGATAATGTTTTAAACAGTTCAGCTACTCGTACAGAGTATTGTAGTGAATCTCACAAGGTTGGTAATGTTTTAAACAGTTCAGCTACTCGTACAGAGTTTTGTAGTGAATCTCACAAGGTTGATAATGTTTTAAACAGTTCAGCTACTCGTACAGAGTATTGTAGTGAATCTCACAAGGTTGGTAATGTTTTAAACAGTTCAGCTACTCGTACGGAGTATTGTAGTGAATCGCACAAGGTTGGTAATGTTTTAAACAGTTCAGTTACTTGTACAGAGTATTGTAGTGAATCTTTCAAGGTTGGTAATGTTTTAAACAGTTCAGCTACTTGTACAGAGTATTGTAGTGAATCTTTCAAGGTTGGTAATGTTTTAAACAGTTCAGCTACTTGTACAGAGTAT